AGTTGATTTATCTGGTTGAAACTATGTATTTAATTGTCACCATGATGTTACAAAATTTAAACCTTATAACAATATGACAAAATAATAAATGTTGCAATTTTCCAGCCAGATCACGATTTCAGTTTTATGATGATTCATGATGACTTTCTCTTAGTATTTTGTGTTGCCTAAGAGATATTTAAAGTCATCTGCTTCTTCTGAAATGTCACGAGAAACATCAGTTATGTTTGGGTGATGCCAGTGTCTCGTGGAGCCGTGCCCAGAGCATAGACACACAACGCTCAGCTGGAGCGAGCCACGCCAAACAGACCAGCTCTAAGGAGGCCACAAGTGAACTGTGCCAATGGAAAAGACGCTCCTCTGTGTCTCTCTCTCTCTCTCTCTCTCTCTCTCTCTCTCTGTCTCTGTGTCTCTCTCTTCCGCTTTCTCTCTCTCTCTGCACTGGGTCTACCTTTGAGCCTGGAGCCAGAGAGACTTGTTTACTCCTTCATCCATCTCCATCTGCCATTCAATCTCTCAGAGTAATGGCCAGAAAACCATCATAAACACAATGCCCATAATATAAGAGCAGGCTTAGAGAACAGACCAGAGAGCAGGGAGAGGGGAGGAGATGAGGGAAAGGTGGGCAATAGGGCTGAACAGTATTTGTGGGTTTCAGAATGATACAAAATGGATCAAGCAAAACAAAATCTGACACCTTTTGTCGGGGAAACAGTCCTCAAAATGCTGCTTATAAACAGAACGCAGGAAATGTGATAGTGTGATTTTGTGATAATTCAGTATTTTTCATAAACTTTTTCACACAATAAGTTCAATTAAATTAAAAAGTTAAGGTTAAATTAGTGTTAAAGCAAAATTAGGAAATAATGGAATTGCTAAAATAACAAAGAATAAATTAATTATTACCCAAATCCTATGCAGTGACAGATTAAGAAAATAAAATTAGAGCATGAAAGTAAGTACAGAGCAGTTGTTGATCGAGAAAATAAGCAATTAAAGATTTCTCAAACATGCACGAATCTCTTCAAATACTTCAACAGGGTAAATCAGAAAGGGAAACAACTATAACATCATAAAAAGTTCTGAAAAGTCGATTTTGCGTAACAGGTCTGCTTTAAGGCCCTGTAATTGATTTTTCCATTTGAGCAAAGTTGTCTTACCCTTGTACAGTATTACAGAAGCACCTCAAAATAAGTACCATTCTGTTCTGTCTGCATGTAATTATGTAACAGTTTTTGTCAGAGAACCAGGAAGTATGTAGATGGTGTGACAACGTCTTATAAACTTGTGAACAACTTATGTTTGTCACGTTTTAAGACAATAAAATGCAGGTAGATGTAGCCATAGAAGTAGCAGTTAATAAATATAAAATAAATATTTATCATGTGCTCATTTTTAGTTGCAATAAGCGGGCAGGTTTTTGATATTTTTTATGTAATACAATAAGATTTGAGCTGTAGAGGCATGAAAAAGTAACTTCCTAATACAGGGGTGTCAAACTCAAATTCACAGAGGGCCAAAATTAAAAACTGGGACTGAGTCGAGGGCCAAACTAAATATCTGTTGCAACATCTGCATGTTTTCTCTTCTTTCGAGATATTTAATGTCAAATTTTTTCTTATTAAAATAAATGTTTAATAATAGTTTTGCTTAAAAGTTGAATGCAGAACAATCATAATATAAAATAATAACAAAATTTTAAATAAATAATGTCTCTCTAGCTCATCTGTAGCCGGCGGGCAAGCTCTAATACATATTTGATATGATCTCGCGGGATAAATATAAGTATATTGCGGGACAAATTTGGCCCCTGGGCCTGAGTTTGATATGTTTGTCCTAATAAGACTAATTATCTGTTCATTCTCATTTATTTGTTGCTGCTCATGCTTTTTAATGGTTTACTGGGATTCTCCTGCTTTATTTTTTGTTTTTGTCTCAGTGGCTAAAAGTAGTTCCAGTATTACCATTTAATGTATTTCTCTGTAGCAATACATCGTGCTTCAAATTTTGCTATCGTGACAGGCCTGTATAGTAAGTATCAGTTTTTGACATCTCTAACCTCATACTTCCAAATAACTGGATCTGCCTTTGGGATTTGATGACCAAGACAGAAGTGGAACACAAACACAGGATAGAGGATAGAGGGTAGTATTTATTAAACATGAGCAGAGATCCCTCATGCTTCCTCCAGCTGAACAGGGGCCGATGACTTCATGTCTTCACCGCGTTTGATAAATAAATGATGACAAAAGCTTTTCTGCAAATGCTACTTCAGAACAAAGACGCTTAAGGCACTTGACCGCAAGAAACTGTCTTTTAATTAGCAATCCAGCAGGTCAAGTGTATTTTCCAGCCCAGGGTAAGAAGGCGACTGTGGAAAGGTGACCTACAACTCTTATTATTAGGGATGTAATGATATGTATATCACACAATACAATACAATCACATTATTAATTTCACTATATAATATTATTGGGATATTGTGGAGATGCTACTTTTTCCTTTTAAAAAGCCTTGACTTGGGGCTATATTAGTGTCATAGTACAAAGAATTACAACAGAAACGTTCTTTATAACAGTTATTTCTTCATGTTTTCGGCATTAAAATGGAACAAAAGATCACTGTCTATGTAGTTTCTTCCTTTTTTAGTTGTTGCTGTAATAACACAATAGCCAGGCTGGTCCCACCTAGTGCTTCCACTCAATTTCATTTCTCTCCAGCGACTAGGTCAGGACTTGGAATACACTAGACGATTTGCAAGAACCCCAGAAGTGCGAGTCCAGGCACAAGCCAATCAGCGAAGAGCCATACATTCTGTACTGGCAACAATTCCCGAAATCAAGGATTTAAAGCCGGAAGAAAGAGAATCTTTGGTGAATTTTATCAAGGGGGAGATGTTACTGCCCTTCTTCCTACAGGATTTATGAAAAGGTTAGTATACCAGTTAGTCCCGTTAGCGGCGCATTACATATGTCACAACCAAAGCGATTAGTTAAATAAAAAAGTACCCGCCTACTGTCGAGCGAAAGAATCCTAATGCTGCAAGGTCAAGCGGTTTCTACGAAGTGAAACCGGCTAATGAATCAGGCTAATAAAACAACTTACATGGGTTAATAACTGCAAACACATTTACATGCATATAACATGTTTAGATCATCATGTTACCTTTTATTGTGGAAAATTCGCTCAAAACAACGTATTAACATGTTTTTTACGTTTCATTTTCATTTTTTTTACACTCTGAGTCTCCCCTCCCTTTGCTCGGCGTGTTTTGTTGCTACCCTTTCAGAGAGCTATCACAACACAATCAGCGTGCATCCTGCTAATGAAACTACTGCGCATTTCATCAGTTTCGTCAAGCTGTTGTGTGCAGTTTTGTATCACGCTTTGACATCTAAAACCACTTCAGGCGTGCTTTGATAAGGGAACGTTATAAGATAGTAAAAAGCTAAGAAAAAAATCTAAATCGACTGCATGGTGACTACATCATACATTTTTCCTATTCATCACACACTATATTTAATGACATTGTCTCTATAACAGCGGCTGATTTCCTTGTATTGAGTTAGTGTGTCAGGAATACTTTGTCTAGACAATACCCCCAGGCCCTGCACAATGAGGCTGAGAAAAGCAGCACCTAAACATTCCTCTGCAGCAGTGGCACCCAAGGGCCCCCACTGGGAGACGCGGTATTTATAGCAGCACGGTCAGGGTCCTTTGTATTAGGATGAATGGGTTTAATGAAGAGGAGGCTACACACATACATCAGGTCAAATGAAATCCCGGAAAGTAACTGCAGGGTTTTTTGTAAATACAATACAGGCTTAATCGATGAGCATATATTTCTTGTTTATTAGTTAATGAACTGACTAGGTTTACTCCTGATTTGTCTTGTATTAGTGCTGGTTCAGTCCTGGCTGGTTTGGTTCTGGTTTAGTCCTGGTTTACTATTGGTTTAGTCCTGGTTTAGTCCTGGTTCAGTCCTGGTTCAGTCCTGGTTCAGTCCTGGTTCAGTCCTGGTTCAGTCCTAGTTTAATCTTGGTTCAGTGCTGGTTTAGACCTGGTTCAGTCCTGGTTTAGTCCTGGTTTAGTCCTTGTTCAGTACTGGTTTAGTCTTGGTTCAGTACTGGTTTAGTCCTGGTTCAGTCCTGGTTTAATCTTGGTTCAGTGCTGGTTTAGTCCTGGTTCAGTCCTGGTTTAGTCCTTGTTCAGTACTGGTTTAATCTTGGTTCAGTACTGGTTTAGTCCTGGTTCAGTCCTGGTCCAGTCCTGGTTTAGTCCTTGTTCAGTACTGGGTTAATCTTGGTTCAGTGCTGGTTTAGACCGGGTTCAGTCCTGGTTCAGTCCTGGTTTAGTCCTTGTTCAGTACTGGGTTAATCTTGGTTCAGTACTGGTTTAGTCCTGGTTCAGTCCTGGTCCAGTCCTGGTTTAATCTTGGTTCAGTGCTGGTTTAGTTCTGGTTTAGACCTGGTTCACTCCTGGTTCACTTCTGCTTTAGTCCTGCTTTAGTCCAACAATATTAGGAATGTTTATTTTTTTTTGTATTCCTGTAGTTTTATCTTAGTATTGTGAGGAAAGGGTTAATGCCTGAACAGGGAGCTGCATTCTTCATGTGATTAGAGCTCTGTGAGATCTAGCCATTACCTGAAAGATTTACTTCAACCACATTTTCAAACACCAACAAAGTTACTGCAAGTTAAGGGCATTGTTCACAGACCTTTCTTTTAGTTTGCATTGTGGGGTATGGAAATTAGTAAGTAATTTGAATATAATAAAATGTATTGACAATTTGCATCTGATAAACAAGGTTGTTTCACCAAATTCTTTCCCTGGGTACAAATCATCTTGATGGGCCCATATAACATGTTGTTAAGGAAAAATGTGCATGTACAGACTTTGTAAGGGGCCCATATTTGCACTGGGCCCTCAGTAAACAGTACCCTTTACCCTCCCAGTCCAACAACCCTGGAGATAGATGAAGATAGACTAAGAATACTCACAAAATTGCACGCTGAGGCTGAGGATGGCCAGCGCAGCCGCACCTCCCACCACCAGGAGGAGGAAGCGGTTACGAGCCTGCATCATGTGACTGGGTCTGTGTCAGCCATCCAGCTCTCCGCACATAACACAAGCAACCTGCACACAAGAGATTCACTGGGTTAGTTATATGGAAAAACAACAATATAAAATCACTTTAAAGGCGCTGTACCTAATTTTTATTTTTCTAAAAACTTCAAAAATTTGTTTTTGTAGTGGTCCAAAATAATTCCTCACTTACTTTATACATTCAGAGCATCCTAATTATTCATCATAATGAGTTTATAAGCACTTGCAGAGAGTGGAGTTTTGCTGTGACAGTAAAGTTAACAACAGCTAGCAGGCGAAAGTGCACTTTCTGATTCTCTGACAGTAAAATGCTTTGTGATTAAAGGAAGACAGCACACACCAGACATATAACCTCAAGAGCTGTTTATACAATACTAGTAGGGCTGAACGACCTTTTGTTTTGGACCGAGAATCAACAACACGATTTTGGGAGCGTAAAAGCTGTGTTTTTTTGCAGTGCGTCTAAAACCCAGTTTATGGGTTTATCGATCTGCATCAAGGTCTATGCTCTGCGAAGTAATTCACCACCACAACACAAGCAGGCTAGGATTTAAAGATGGTGTTCGTGTAAAGTTTAACATGAACCATCTCCAACACGATAGAAGCACAGAACAGACTCACCATCAGCACTCATCCTCTGTCACAGAAAGTACACTCATATTCCACTGAGTTGTGTCCTTTAGTCCAACAGAAGCACACAAATAGAGAGCTGTTTTTTTCAGCACTAATAGCTACATTAAACACATTATTACTCAACATATACTGAAAGAAAGGATAGCGGAGTAGGAAATGTATGTAGAGCGGTGGTAGAGAGAGAGGTAAACAGGGCTTTATGGTCCAGCATCAGATCATCGGTACAGGACTCTGGTATGATGTAAGTTTCTGTGATGTTTGCAAATGTTCATGTGCACTAAAACTTGATCTGAAAAAAATTGTAGATGAAATCAAAATCGCAATATTTGCCAGAAAAATCTGAATTAAATGTTTTCATACTGTCGTCCACCCCTAAATACTAGTTTATTTGTACTGGGGCAAGATACATTTTGCTCAAATACATGGAAAATCGGGTACAGGACTTTGAATTATCCATGGAACTTCATTAGCAGACAAAGCGGCAATGCAAAAACACAGACGTAACATATTAAACTTTTACAAGTGCACATTCACCTTACTAAACGGGACAATATAAAATCTATTGAAACTTCGCAGCTGATGTCATTAACATTCTCTGGAGGGAGTTAGGCACTGCTCTGTCTGAAGCTCTATTACTCATATTAGACTTTAATCTGACCACAAAGAACTGACTTAGCTGAATCTACAAACAGGCGAGATTTGTGCTGTTCAACAAGTCCCTCTCAAATCACATTACAAGCACAAGCAAACTAGCATTGGCCAACAGTCTTTCAGTTAATCACTCTCATTTTTTGTTGAAAATCAAACACCTAAACAGGACCATGAACACTCATAATGGTCACAGGCTCCTGAAAATGTTAATGGGTGCATTGTATAACCAAGCCAAATATTCTGGCATAAACATACATGCATAGGGTGACTGACCCGATGTCCCTGTTTATCCGGGACAGTCCCAGTTTTGAGCCCTGTGTCCCCTGTCCCAGCAGATTTATCCAAAACCACTGATTTGTCCCAGTTTTATACAAGAAATATCCCAGGTGTCCCTATTTCTGACCAGTTTGATTCCTGCCAACAGTAAACATTGACATTTGTTTTGGTATAATACACAAAAGCTGCTTAAAAATTACCAAAACACATAGAAAATGTGATTATACGGACTCATGTTAGTCGGGTACAGAACAGTTTTCCTTAATTGCATACTGGTTTCACAGTTTTATTATTACCAAACACCACAAACCAGGGGGTGTCCTAGTTTTTTAAAATTCAGGTCACCCTATACATGCAGTCTCTCTAAAATATATCGTAAACCACATTGTGTACATACAGTAGCCTTCCTGACATCATGATTTGGTTACTCATCAAACTTATTCAAACAGGAAAGTAGGGCTGTACAATTTTGAAAAATAAAAACAAGTGTATTGGGATTATATTATAGTAGAGCATATTTTAAACTACAGGTACAATGTGTCTTTGCAAATAGTTTAAATACTAGCTGTTCTGTTCTTTGCAGGTGGCATTTTGTTATTTAAATAATTGCAGCCTTTGTGACTTGATAATTGCACCTACGTAAATAGGTTTCTACAAACATTTCTACAAAAAAAGTTATTTTCTGCTAGTTGATCCCTCATATTATGCATCTCTCCATGAAAAGGTTATTGTGTTGCTTGGAGTGTTCCGCAGTATGGAAAAACACTTTTTTTTAATCTCAAGTAAGCACAACCAGGTGATGCCATGGGGCCAAGTTACAGGATCAGATCTATGGAGAGGCAAGCCCACTCACAGTAAGAATGCAATGTTTTTAAGTCAATAAAAATACATGCAGTTGAGTAAAGGCAAGATGTGGAGCACTGAAGACAACGCAATAACATCTCCATGGAGACAAGCATGCGTCTGACTCTCCACCATGAAATTCACACAATGCACTTTTAACAGTACAAGATTGAATTTCACTGAAAAAGTATGCATATTGACAGTATTTACACAGCTGCTTATTACTACTAAATTATATCCCACCCATCCACCATGGCCACAAACACCCCTGCTTAATAATATAGTTGCTCACACTATTTTACACATAGCACGATCCTGCCAGTGCCATAACTCATGTTTTTCTCCTCCTCTTTCAAACACACTAGACTGGCCTTTCAGTGTTACATATTTTACTATGGTGTGACTTCTCTCCACTGTAATCCAGTCACAGGCAGTACAAAAGCTGAGAGGGCTAAGCAGAAAAACAGGGGAAGATATGGGGAAAATGTGGCACTAACTGCAAACCTGCAATTTAGACAGGCTAAAAATAACTACAGTTTGGAGAGTTAAGCCTGTGTCTACCCAAAGAGAGGCTAATGCTATGGCACTCAAAATGTAGTCAGGTTGGTTAAAAGGTTCTCAAACACTGGTGCAGGTACTAGTCGTACTACATTCCTTTGTATTGCAATGACATTCACATACTTTAAAATGCATATGACAGATTAAAAATAGTTTCAGTGAAAAAAATGTGAACATAATACATTTATTTATTATTATTATATTATAAATTATATTAGAAAATGATAAATGACAACACCTCTATTTGGTTAAATAAAGGTTTAAATTGTACTAAGAACAATGTGTTCTTTGCGTGTAAAACATCTTTAAGGAATTTTGTGTATTGATGACACAGATAGTATTCTGTTTGAGAACGTTCTGTATTTTTATACTTATCTTCTTAACTTTTTTCATAGACTGCCACCAAACCAAGTAATAACTAGAAAAACATATAAAAAAAAAAGTCATGTACAATTTAAGCCTGCATTTCACGAAAGAGATGCTATAGCAGTGAGTCCAGTCCAC